TGTCAAACCTGGACCATTTGCAATATCCCAAAGAAACCAATCCCAACTGTTTATATTTGTGGTCCAAATGCTCTATTTACAACACCATATCCTATCACATATTTGATATCAAGAACCTCAAAAATAATTGGGAGATAGATAGATATGCATAGATAAAACTGATAGGAATTAAATTAGATCAACATGCAACCTACATGTTTAGGGCTGAGGAATGAGATGTGTCATCAACACTTTGAATTTCATGCGCAATGAGAATTTCAACATAAACACCATTCTTAATGTGGGAACACACAAGAAATTAAGCATTGCATATCTACCGATACACATACACCAAGAAGACAACCAGCAACCTTGTTGACGGCGGTTCAAGAAGATGTAAATCTGAAGTAGCCTTACAGCTGTATTCAAGTCTTTCCTCACCTTCTACAAGATAAACAACAAGAAAAGGAAAATGCAATTAGCAAAGTTAATCAAAGTCCCGAATAGAAGTTGATGAAACAATATTATAAAAACTAATCGCAGCTTGTATTCTTGCAACTGCAAAGAGCTTTTTTACATATTACCATTCGGCGAACCAGAAGATATTAGTCTCTATATTGCTCACTTCAAAGCAGCAGAGGCCACATTCTTATCTAATCGGGTTCCTTTCAACATTTGATTGGTGGAATGCGGAAATCTATAAGCACTTCTTTTTGGCACTTTGGGGTTTTAGTATGTTTAATACATTTTTACACAAAACAAGATATACATTACAGTAAAACTTTGGCTCTACTTTAGTCTCTCCCTCAACTTCCTAACTATCTTGTCAACGGGCAAAGATCCCACAGGACCCATGGGTTCTAGAGACTCATCATCGGAACACTCGTCGTCAAAGTCATCGTCTATGTCACTATACCCGTCGGACAGATCCTTGTCATCCACGTAGTCCTCTGCTGCACCATCACTGCTTGACAATACTAAGGCTGTGTAAGTGTGTTCTGCGGCCTGTGAAGTGCCTTCCAACTCTTCCACTTTCTTCAAGAGATCGTCTGGATCAAGGTCAAGCTCTTCCAGAATTACTGCCTTTGATGATTCCAACGCTCGTTTCCAGAGCGAGATCATTTTGGGGCTTGATATCACCGTACTTGGTACAGACACTGTTTGTTCTTTACTGATTTCTTCTGTACGAAAAGGACAGATAAAATGTATTTGAGAAACTTTTTTGGGGGGGTATTAGCTGTTTTATGAGTACATGAGAGTTAATAATACCTGAGGGATCAACTTCGCCTGCTATGTTGGTCTCAGAGAGGATTGGAGTTAAAGGATTTTCCAGAAACCGTGACTTCCAGTCTCGTCCTCTCCACATGAGTATTTGCTCATCGTCAAAAGACAGAAGCACACAAGGAACTAACTCCTGTTAAGAGATAAGAGATAAAGAGAAGGGTTTTCAGATACATAATGACATTTTGGGTGATGGAAATATGAGACCAAATGAACGACAGAGAACAAATGAATATTTGAGATCGAACAAAAGTGATTGCGATGAAGTTGCAGAGGTGTGTAATGTATAGATGCAACCAAAAAAAAAAAAACCTGAAGGATTCATAGACCTTAAGCTTAGCGCCTATTTTCTTGTAATCGCTTCGTTCAAGTCCTGAGCAGTCGACTTTCACCAAGGGACTGAGTTCGAAGGCATCCCTAACATCTTTGACTAGCGACACGTAAACTCCATTTTTTGCTGCAATGCAAATCCGAGAAGACAATAGTAAATGTTTAGCCAAGTGTCTTACCTCTTCTTGCATAGTATGTGCCAATTTACTTCATTGGATTCCGAAAGTTTAAGAAAGCAGAACTAAATCTTTAAAGATAAAATATACTTACACAACTTGCATATGGGCCTAAGAGACTTGCCCTTCACCCTGAACATATGAGCTTCATCTTTGGTCAATCCTTCAGGAACTTCTTGAATGAGCTTTGGATAAACTGGAGCTGCTGGTTTCCACAGCATCAATGGGTACTGCGGACGTGTGCGGTAGTTGTAATTTCTACCCCTAAAGAGGTACACCACACCTCCGACTCTGTGAATGATCTTTCCTCCTGTCTTTTCCTAGATAAGAGGGAAAAAACAAAGAGAACAGACTCAGTCTATCACTCTTCCAACTTTTGAAAATAGATCGAATCTTGAGACATATAAAGATGATACAGATTACATTCTCAAGTTACAGATTCTAAAATTTCCTTCAAGTTTCTTGTACATATATCTTCTCTACAACAAACACGCCAGAATCAAATCAAACACATATACCAATTACATTCGAATAATTTCTACTTAAGTTCGATCAAACAAACAAACCAATCTTTGATCAGAATCTAGAAAAATACCTCAAGAACACGACACACATTATCCATATCAACAGTGGGAACTCCTTTGCATCGAACCTTACAAACACGTCGTCTCTTCCAATGCGAATGTATCAGTTCCAACATGTTATGCGTGAATCCATCTCTTCCTGTATAACACACACATACATTAATCTGAAAAATGGAATCAAAACTCTAGAATTCAAACGCCGAGAGAAGCACTCACCTAAATTAACCTGGCGATTATCATGCATATGAGGCTTAATCAGCATCCCTTTCTCCCATCTCTTCAATGGCTCACCAAGAATCTCATCTCTAGTCATCGATTCCTTTGGATACCTCCCAAACGGAAACGGCCCAGGCATTTCCACATACTTAACCCCAGATTTTCCAGCCGGAGGTGGATTGAAAGAATCGAACAACGGAATCTTCTTCTTCGATTTCTTCAACGGAGCTTTTCCAGTCCACGGTCGCGGCATCGTCGGCGGAGCGAAAGGCATAAACGCCGGTTCTCGGATCCCAACCGGTTTAGCTTTAGGCGTCTCGGAATAGCTAAACTGAAACTCGAAAGGAGCACCGGGAAGCTGGTAAGATACGCCGGAATCTCCGATTAAGATGGTGCGTTCTCCATCCGAAGAGATAACTCCTTCTTTCACCGGTTTGTAGTATCTGGTGTTGCGATGTGGAAGCTTCAACGCGGGATTTGATTGTGGTTTCGGCTGTGTTGGATCAGTGTGATTGCGATTTCTACGGGATGGTGAGTATTTGGGTATCGGAATCGGAGGAGATGGCCGGAATGTTCCTGTGGATGAATCCGTCATTG